TGTAAATATAATTTATACCAATTTAATATATTATATAGTTTATTATATTAATCATATTTTTTATCAAATAATTTTTATTATATAATTAATTAAAGTTTAAAATTTAATTTATATACATTAAATATAAGATAAATAAAGACATATATATTTTTATTTATTATAACAACAAAATATTTTTTAATTTATCATTTAAGCAAAATAAATAAATAATTAATTATATATATTTATGGTCATTTTTTTATTAATTAAAAGTATTTTTAATTTCTTGGTTTAGAAATTATATTAAAGCATATTTTTCTTCTTTATTTTATTCAGTATCAATTTTAAGCTTAAGTTCTTCAAATCTCTATTATATAAAAAATAATAAAATAAAAATATAATATTTTTACTTTTATGCAATCTCTTAATTATATACACTCTTCAAATTCTCTTTTTGCACTTTTTTCATTCATTAAATATTCCATTCCATTTATAACTGCCTAATATAATTTAATATCAAGGCCTTTTTTTGTTATTTTTGTTATTTTATTTTATCTAAATATTCCTATGTGTTTTATTTATATTATTTATAATGCTTTTCATTATGTTCGAATTGCAAATAGGCATCTAATTAGCTAATTACATTCGCTTTTAAACTAAACATTAAAACCTTTTTTTATTATTTTTTATTTAAAAAATAAACTTTTTATGTACTTAATTTTATACATAATCCCCTTGTCTTATGTTTAATTCAATTGTTTTAAATGTTTATTTTTATTATGAATGTTTTGGGGCATTAAAATTAAGATTATCAAAATATATAATATCTTTGAATTTATCTTTTAATGAATATCCTAATAATTGTTGAGATAAAGGTGTTTTTTTTTGTTTTTGCTTTTGTGAATTTTCTACATACTAATTATTTTCTTAAGTGTTTTTTTAATTCATATAATAAATTTTAATATATTATATTTAATTTTTTAATAAATTAATTTATTATTATTAATTAATGTTCATTATAATTTATTTAATTGACTTTATTTGTTTTTAAAAGAAAAAAGATTTTTCACAAAAAGGAAGAAAAAAAATAATATTTTTATAATTAAAATTAATTAACAAAAAAAAATCATGAATTAGGAATAAATAGTTTAATTCATTAAAAAAATATACAAAAACGATACTTAAGTAAAAAGATTAATTAAAGAAACTAATAGTCTTTTTAACCTTCCAAAAGATATATATGAAATTTAATTAGGCTAATATAATTTAGGAATGACTATTATAGTAAATATTAAATAAAAAAAAAAAAAAAACATAAAATATTATTATAAAAAGATTAATATTTAGCATTAACTTTTGCATAATAATTAAAATTTAATTTTTTTAAAAAAATATTAAACTTTAATTTTTGAAATATAATTAGATACAAAATATCCTTTTGCTTTTCCCAAAGTTATTTGTAAAACAACTGTATAAATTAATATAATATATATAAAAATATAATATAAATACACAAAAAAAAAAGTTTTCTTAACCTTCCTTGGCTGATGGAAGAGATTTAATAGAAAATATTATAAACTCTTAATGGAGTCCTTCAATATTATTATATACAATCATAGAAAAAATACCTGAATTTTTAGTATATATAAAAAACATTTAATATTTTATTTTTTAAAAAAAGGCTTAAATTTAACCAAATATAAATGATAGAAATTACTTAATTGGATTAGGGTAATTTTATGTAGGTTAAGAATATGATCTTGAAATGTTTTTATAAATAAGTGCTGTAGATGTATTTGCTATAGAATAATAAATTAATAATTAAAAATATTATTAGAAGTATAAAATATATATATATATATATATATTTATTTAAATATATAAATATCATTATATATTTATATAATATTATTTTTTATTTATTATAAAATTAAATAAAAGATATGTAATAATATCTGAATGTTTTTTTTTAAACTTTGATATAATAAATAAGAAAACAAATTTGCTTTAATTAAATTAATTTTTTGAATTAAAAAATCTTATTAATATAAAGAAAAAAAAGAAGATGATTAACATTTAACTCTAACATGGAAAATTGATTAAAATGTATATATATAATTTTTTTTAAATGAATAAATAAAAAAATAAGTCTCCTGAAGTTTATTAAAATTTTAAGTTAAATAATATTCATAATTTAATAGATGTAATCATAAAACATATGTAAAATAATGGTGTAAAAATAAAAAGCATAAAAGAAAATATCTATATTTCTGAAGATGAAGTAACTGCTAAATAGTATTAGAAAACTAATATTGAATAAATAGAAGAAAATATTGCTATTTATGAATCTGATCTTTAGGAAAATCTTACATTAGATATAATTAATGCTTTAATGGAATAATATTAATAAGCTATTGAATATTATTCAGCTTTAGAAAACGATATATTTATGAATTATGTACAAAGACTTTAATAATTATTAAATAGGCCTGATGTTTAACTTGTTTTGAATAGCAAATAAGGTTTTTTTTAATTTTTTTGTTTAAAAAAAATAAAATTTTATTTTTTATTTTGCAGAAAGTATTTAATTGGAGAAAAAAAAAGCTAAAAATAACAATAGAATGAAGAAGAAACATAAGAAAATTCTCATAAAACTCATGAAGAAGAAGATAGTATTTTTAATGATTTTAATATTTAAAATAAAATGGAAGGAACTAAAAAAGTTTCTAATTTAAATAATTAGAAAATCGAGTAATAATAACCAAATAATTAAAAGCATGAAAACACTAATGAAAATTAAGAAGATTTTAATTAAAAAAACAAATAAGAAAATAAAAATGATGTAAAATAAGAAGAAAAATAAGATTAAAAAGAAGAATAAAAAGAAGAATAAAAAGAAGAAGAATAAAAAAAAGAAAAACAAGATTAAATAGAAGAAAAATAAGTTTAAATGGAGCAAAAATAAGAATTAATAGAAGAAAAATAAGAATTAATAGAAGAAAAATAAGAATTAATGGAAGAAAAATAAGAGTAAAAAAAATCAATTTAAGAAAATCAATAAGAAAACAATGAAAATAAAGAAGAAGAAGAAAAGAATATATTAAAAGAAGAAACAAATGAATAACATTAATAGTAAGAAAATAATAATTAAAAAGAAAATTTATTATTATGTAATAATTAAGAGTGAGATTTAATTGACTAAAATAAAAAATATAGTATATAAATATATTTAATTTTTTTTTTTTTTTCATTTATATTTATAAATATATATAATTTTTTTTTTATATATATTTTTATTTTTTGGATAAAAAAAACATTATTTTTGATAAATACTATTTTCTATATAAATTAAAAAAAATATGTTTTGTATTAAATAATTATTTTTTTACAAAAAAAATTATAAATAAAAAAATGGAAGATTTCGAACGCATATTCTCAGAAGAAGAAGTAGACTAAATGAAAAAAGAATATGAAAATAAAATATTAGAAAAAGACCAAACAATAGAAAAACTTAACTAAGAATTAGAAAAAACATAATAATACAATACATAATTATTAAAACAAGTGAAGTTATTTTAATTAGAATCAGTTAAAATAATGGCTTAGAAAACATAATTGGAATTAATAAATATTTAATTAAAAAAAGATAATAATAATAACAATATTTTATTATAAAATAAAAATATAAATGATAAAAATTAACATGAAGAATAATAAATAAAAACAGAAATTGAAAATAATAATTATAATTATGAATTATAAAATAAAATTTAAAATTTGGAATAACAAGTTGAAATGTTAAAAAATAATTTATTTGAAGAAAATTATTATGTGGAGATTTTTTATAATTATTTAGAAAAAATTTAAAATCATCCTTAAAAATAAGAATAAATTAAAAAATATGTTATGAATGTAACTTAGGAAATAAAAAATATTATCAATCAATTTAATTTAAACTTATAAATCTATATAGGAAATATTAATAAATGAAAAAATATATTTATATAAATTATTTTGGCTTTTTAAATATTTAGTTTTTATTTTTTTATTTTTATATTTTTTCATATCTAAAAACAATATTGTAATGCAGATTAAATATTATTACTAAGTATGTTTAAATCCTTAATATTTTAAATTTATTTATTTACTTATACAGCAATTATTTTAATAATTAAACTTTAATTTTCCAAAAAATCAAACTTTATTAATAAATCTGTATTTGTATTTTAATTTTTAAATTCAAAGTACCCAATAAATATATTATTTGAATCATCAAAAGGAATTAAATTAGGAAAATATTTTAAAATATCTTATTTTTACTTTATTATTTTCATATTTAACTTTTTTATTGTTATTTATGTCTATGAGCAATTATTTTCATATTTTTAAAAAAGTTTAATTAATTAATTTTTATCATATTTAAATGAAAAATTTAAATATTTTAAAATACTATTACATATCGGTATTTTCGTATATTCTTATTCACTATTTTATTTATAAAAAGCATTATTTTTAAAATATATATATATATATATATTACTTAATTAATATATTGGCTTATAATGGACATATATAAAGATTATCGTTATATATTTAAAATTCTATTTTTTCTTGTTTTTAAGGAAGAATTTATTATATTAATTATTACTTAAAATATATGAAAGTGTCTATTTTTAAAAATAATAAATAAAAATACATATATTTTTTTTTATTACATTAATTTTAATTATTGATTTCTAGTTTAATATTATTTAATTGTTAATCGGTTTTGTTTTTAATGTAAAGTTAAATTTTTATATAAAGCTTTCCGTTAAATTCGTTTAGAGAACTAATTATACCAACTTAAATCTTAAGATCTTCAAATATATTTTTCTTTGATAATAATAAAGAAGATTTAAATTTATCAGTATTCTAAAAAGACTAAAACTATTATTAATACAGAGATATTCATTGAACATGCTATATTTTAATTATTAATAGAAGAAGGAAAAGTAAACATTTCTTCATCATATTTAGTTTATAATTTTTATTACAACTATGATTTTTCTTATTAAATATCTTGCATTTATTATTACAACTCTTGTTCATATAATTAAAATTATTAATCTAAATTTTGAAAGACTTCATGTTACTAAAATTCAGAGCATTAATCTTATTCTAATTCCTATTCTTATTCTTAAAATTATTATTATTCTAATTAAAATTTTTAAGATAATTATTAATCAAATTACTATTATTATTATTATTATTATTATTATTATTATTATTATTATTATTATTGTTATTATTAATAATTTTTATTTTTTTAAGGCGATGTAAAAATACTTTTTTTTTTTTTTTCTTCAAAAATACTGTGGCGTGTTATTGTTACAAAGCTTTAAGAAGAATTTAAAAATTTTTTTTCTTATAATACTTTATTATTTTCAAAAATCAATGGTTTTTTTTTTTAATATATACTTTTCAAATTTTTATTATTAATTGATAAAGGTGATTCTTACTATTAACTTTATTAAATAATTTTTTAAAATCTACTCATACTTTAAGTTTTTTATTCAAAAATTTATTTCCTTTTGCCTTAATATTCTATTTTATGTGTTTACGCTTATCTTTTATTTTCGGAATCATCCCTATTTATTTAGTTTTTAAGGTCTTCAATTGACTAAATTGAATAATATTAGTAATTACTTTATTAATTATGTGAATTATTATTATTGTTTTCTTATTAATACTATTATTATTATTATTAAAACTTAAGATTTTTAATTTAACAATTTAAATATTTTTATTCCTTATTAATAACTTTTAATTATTCAATTATTTATTATAAATTTTTTATTATTTAATCTTTTTCTTTTTTTCGTTTTCACTTTATAAAAGTTAGCTTTCTTTAATTTTAATTTATTACTAATAATTATTTATATCTTATTTTTGTTAATTTATCTAGTTTTTTAACAAAACTACTTTTGATTCTAATATTTAATATTTCGTATTATATAAAGATAGTTATTTTTCAATTTCTTTCATTTAATTATTTTCCTATAAAAGCATTTTCTTCTCTTCTTTTATAAGTTATTAAATATTTGTTTATTCCATAAATGGATTTTTTTCTTCCTAATAGTTATTTATTTATTCTAATAAAGGGTTTTTATTTTCTTTATAAGATAATTTCTTATCTAAATAAAGTATATTTGGCTCATTATATGTATTTTTTTATTCTATGTAAGGATTTTATTATATATAAGGATTTTATTCTATATAAGGATTATTTTGTTCTATATAGCGATTACTTTGTTCTCTGTAAAGGTTCTAGCTTTCATTTTTATGACTAGAATTAGAGTTTGTATGGAAGCTTATTTTTTCTTATTATTTTGGTGTTATATCATCATCTTCAAGAATATTTTCTTCTATTTGGGCTATTTGGTATGTATTTTATTCATTTAAATTATCATTTATATGTTTTTATTTATTCTAGTTAACAATTTAATCGGAAAATTATTCTCCTATAGGGTATTAACATGTAGGTGTTAATAATTCAATGTTAGAAATATTCGAAAAATTATTTTATTATTACTGAGATTATTAAATTAAACTATTTAAGGAAGATGTTTACTTATCTTCAGAAGGATTATTAATGTAATTATCTATATATTTATTTTTAGTTATTATTTTAGATTAGGTAGTATTATTTTCGAGATATTTTTCATTGTTTTTGAAATAAAAGAGATTGTCTGGGAATGAAATTTAATTTTTTAAAGATAAATAAAGGGCTGTATTTTCATCATTTTAATTATATTCGGGATTTATTGATAATACTATTATAAATTCTAATATAAAAATATAAAAGCATTTCGAATATTTCTTTTCTTCTTATGATACTTTTTTTTATTATTTTTTTTTTTTTTTTTTTTTTTTTTAAAAGTAAAAAAAGTTTATTATTTTACTTTATTCTCCAAAATAATCTCGACCTCTGGCTATGTCATATATATTTTTTTTGTATAAGGCTATTTTGTAAAACTCTTTAAATAATGCCTTTTATATGCTTTCTTGTTAGTTACGGATTTTCTCAAAAATTATGGATATTACCTTATTTTATGTTTTTTGTAAATACCTATTTTCTATTTTTTAAATAAATAATTTACCTTTACAGCATAAAATGATCTTATTGGTTCTTTTCTTTCTGTTAAAAGACTTAAAGTTATATTTATGATTTTATTGTATATTACATTGTTTCTTATAATTTATTTTAATTTTATTTTAAAAAAATGTTAAAAATACAAAATACATTTCTTATGTGTTCCTTTTTGTTTCGATAAATAATTCTTTTATACATTCGCGATATTTGTTTGAAAATAATTCATTTTTGACATAATATTCTTCTAAAAATTAACTGTTTGTAGACATTTTTATATATATAATTTTATATTTATTAGTAAAAAGTAAAAAATAAAAATAAAGGCGAAATATTTTAATAAAATAAAAATATATATATAAAAAAAAGAATAATAATAAAGTTATAAAAAAAAATTAACTATATTTTATTTTAAAATAATATTTTTTTTTATTAAATTTTTTTTTTTCATAAATCTAAATACTTAGAAACAATTTTATATAGAAACTGTCTTCTTTCAAAAACTGATTTCCAAACATTAGAATCAATAAACTCAATATTATAACCTTTAGATTTAATAAAATGGGTTCTCTAAATTTCATTAAAAAGTTACTTTCCGTTAATAAAATGTTATTATCCCAGTAATTCTATACACAAATTAAGTTCTGGAATAAAAATATCAACAACAAGTATCTTATCAATAACATATTCAGGTAAAGCTCTAATTTTTAAATTATGAAATTTTATCATTTATTCTAAATGTTAATAAACATTCATTTCTGTTCCGCTCCTATCTTCTAAGAAAGTAACTCTTTATAGTCCTTATATGGTATTAAGTTAAAATTGATCCCTCTTAGATTCCAGGAATTTTATTATTTCAACTTTTTAACCTATTTTAGGGTTTACTTCAAGAAATTATAAAGCTTAAATAACTTAAACAAGATGAATGTCCTAAACTTGACTTTTTAGATTAGTTTTGTATTATTTTTTATTTTATTTTTAAATATTTCATCTATATTCTTTACTCCTATTCCTAATATTTGACCTATTTTTCCCTCTAAAACCCTCCAATCTTAAAAAAATGTCTTTTCATCTTCACAAACTAGACATTATTACCAAAAAGTCCAGGACGAGAATCCCAAATCTCTAATGATGTCTTTTTGTTTTTCCCCAAAAAGAAGTTTTAAGTAATTTAATGTAAAAATATTTTCTAGTAATCGTCTAATAAATGAAACTGTATAACTAATTCATGTGTAATTCTAATTAGATTAACTACTGGTATTTTTTAATCTTCTAAAATCCATTTTTAGAATTTGTCAAAAAGTTTCTTTTTTTCCTTTTATTAATCCATAGTTTTAATCAAAGCAATAAAAATAAATGAGATTTTAGCAGATTCTGGCTTTTCAATTAAATTAAAGCATTTTTTCCAATATAAATCTTCCAGTTTTTCCATATTTCCGTATTTTTTTATACCTTGAATTGTTTTTGAAAGCTAAAAAAGATCAATTTAATCTCTGTATTTTAAAACGATTTCCTATATGAAATTTTAGTTGTCTTAATAAAATTTATTATTGATAAGTTTTTCCTTTTCTTCGAAAGCTTAATTTTTGACTAGTCTATTATATATATAATCCATAAATAAATTAGAATAAAGAACACAATTAGGCGATTTTTAAAAAAACACATTTTCAAAAAAGGCATTTATATTTGAATCGACAGTATTCATATATTAAATGCATTTATAAAAAACCGAAAATTCTTTAAAATTTAAGTCTTTTTTTCTCAATTATAAGCTCAAATTATCTTTCAAACTATGTTTTCGGCTTTTTTTTGATATAAAACTAATAAAGTCTACGCCATTTATAAATTTGACATTTTCAAAAAATTCTATTCCGTATAAATTTCGATAATATCAGTTTATAAATTTAACTCGAGAACATCATTTAAATGCAATAAGCAAGAAAATTCTTCCAAAGTAAGAGTCAATATTTATTTTTGGTTATCAGAAAATATCCTCTATTTAAATTTTTATAAAGGTAATTATTTTGCAAAATCTTAATTTTATTTACATATATTAATGAATATGTCTATATCTTATTATATATTAATACTATCATTTATTATTTGAGAAATTTAATTAATTAGAATATTTTATTAGTTTTCATCTTTTTTTATCATTTATATTTATAAAAGGAAGTCTTTTAAATTTTTTTATTTTTTCAAAGGAATTTTTTCTAAAAATTCGGCTTTATTTTTACTTTATAAAGGAAAAAAGTCAATAAAATTAATTATTTTTTGTATATTTATGTCTTATAATTATTTATTTTCTTGGAAAAGTTTTATTAAAAATTCAGAAAAAAAAAACCAGTTTTAGATTGTAAATGATTTTTTTTTTAAAAAGGAATTTTATTAAACATAATTTAAAAAAAATAATATTTTAGAACTATTTAAAGAATAGTTTTTTATATAATTTTTTAAATTTTAGAAAAAAAACATTATTATTTCTTCTTGTTTTTGTACGTTTTATTTCTCTTAATAGTAATTTAGAACTTCCAATAATATTTTTATGTTTTAGATGTTTTATATTGGGATTTTAGGTAAGTATTCAGATAAATATTCGGGAAAAGAAATGAGGATTTAAATCATTTTTTCGTTTTAAGGCATTTTTTCAAGCATTTCTTTTCTCTCCTTGCCATTTATTTTACTATATATGTCATTCTTTATTATTTCTTCTAGATTATTTAACAAAAGAAGTTCGATATATTTCTAATTAAGATGGATTTTGTCCTAAATCATGCTTTTCTATAACAAAAATTAATCCATTTTGAACATTTCTAATAGAAATCTATTAAAAGACGGATCTTTTTTAAATTATCGGTTGGCCTTTATCAAAACGATATTTTATTTAGCACTTTAATGAAGGCTTTGGAATAAAAGAAGTGAATTTTAGTCTAGATTTTTATTAAATTTAGCAAAAAATGTATATATTATTAATAAATCTTGATGCAAATAATTTTTTTGGAAATCTAAAGGGATTTAATTTTCTTATATTTTATTTATAAGAATATTTACGGAAGTTACACTTTTCCAATCTATTTAATTTTGTAGATTTTTTAAAGTTTTATTTTAAGGTTTTCCTTATTGAATCACATTTATATATTAAAAATTATATTTAAGAAAATTTTTTGATATAAAATTTATCATCTTTATTTTATATTATTTTTATTTATATTTTATATATAATTAAAAAAAAAAAAATGAAAAAGATTTTTTTAATTTTAAACTAAATAACATTATATATATATCTATATATTGTGTATTTTTGTATATGTAATTTCATTATTTTTTTATTTTATTTCAAATCGACTCATCTTTTAGGCGCTTAAAAAATTGCATTATTTCCATCTCCTAAAGGCTTATAATCTCCTATTCCATATATATTATTATGCACTTATAATTATTTTCCACTCATATTATAAATCCAACCATCTCTACCGTTTGGGTCTCTACCATTTGAAATTTTTATATTTGGGCTTTTATAACTACCTTATTAAGGTTATTTTCTTGTTAATTATTTTAAACTATATTTATTGGATAAATTAAAGTTATCACTACCATAATCATCATCATCGTCTTAATAATTTGAAAAAGCTAATTTTTTTTTTAAAGGCTTGGTTTTTGGCTTGAGTATCGAAAATTATTATTAGTTTTTTATAAAATTTAAGATTTTTATTGATATTATTATTAAAATGAATTTTGTTATTATTTAGGTTAAATTCTTGATTATATTGATTATTATTAATATTTGCTTTTATCCCCTTATTTTATAGCTGCTAAAGCTTATTAGAAATCTTCATGTTATTTTCTCCAGTCATTATCTTTGGGTTTAATAAGATTTAGCTTTTATTTGAATTTTTCTAATTATTAAGCTTTTTATTCGAAAAGCTTTTATTTTTTCAATGCTTATTTAGTTGGCCCAGGCTTACAAACTGCTTAATGTTTTCCAATTCTGTCCGAAGCGAATTTTCTACCGCATTTAGAACAAGGAACTAAATCTAAATTTCCGTTTTCCATTGCATATTAAGCTTCTTATTTATAATCTTTTTAAGCCTAGGTCATTCCTTTTAGTACATTTCCAGGTTTACAAGCTTTCTAATGTGAAATAAGACTTTCTGGTTTAAAAGTTCTACAACAATTAGAACAAGGCACTAATACATCGTAATTATATTAATCGTAGGCTCTATTGTTATATATGTCTATATCTTTTCGAGTTATATTTTCTTTTGATAATAGCTCCATTAAGCCTGGAGGTTCACGAGGTAAAGGACGATTTGAGGTCAAAGGCCATTTCTCTCTGCAGCTTTTTAAATGAATTTTCAAACTTCTAGTTCCAAATTCTCTACCACATATATAACCTTATTTTTTTTTTTTATGAAATTTTTTTATGAATTTTTTTATTTTATTTTTTACACATTAAAGATATGGGTCTTTGAATCATTTTAGGCAGTTCTTCTTTTGGAAGTTATTTTTGGGGAGGTTTATTGTAATTAAACGTTGTTTTAGTAAGAGAGCCACCTCCTCCTTTTATTTTGGATTATTTTTTGGAAGAAAAGTTTGCAATTCGGCATTCATTTTCATGTAGTAACAATTATGTGGAAGGTATTTTTTTTAAACATATACTACATGATATCATTTTTTGGGATATATTAGGAAGGTTTGGAGCCGAGAAAATGTCTTGTCTATTTTTGTTTTCTGAGAAGTATTTATTTGGTTGTTAAAATATGTTATTGCTAGGAGGTCTTTTGTACATTTTTATTTTTTTTGTGATTTTTTATATTTTTTTTTTAAAAAAAAAAAATTAAGAAAAATAAAAATGCATATAAATAATAATATATTATTATTTCGTAATTTGAGTTAAGACCTCAAATTATAATTTAATAAAGCTAATAGATGGTTATTTATCTATAATTATTATTACCTTATATTTTATTTTCAAGATATTGCTTTTATTATTGTTTTATCTATTTAATTTTTTTACTATGAAAAGTTATTTAATAAGTTTTTTTTTTTAAAAAAGAATATTCACAGATAGATTTTTATAAAAGTTCTTTTATTTATTAACAAAAATTAAAAATAATATTAACAAAATATAAAAATGATACTAAATTTTAATAAAAATCTATTTTATTAACACGAAAAATATTTTATTATAATCTTAAATATAATATTTTCCTAATAATCAGATAAGTCTTATTTTATTAAATATATAAACTTATAAAAAAAAAATATTAATATATATTATTTTTTATTTGTAATTTATTTTTATATTAAATTAAAAGATTATTAATTTTTGTTGGAGAAAAAAATATTATATCATTCTTAATTAGTTTAAAAATATTATTTAATTTCAAATATATCTTCAAAGTCTTTTATTTTCATCATCTTATATAAATTATAAATCTTAATTATTTTATAATTCAGATTGCAATTCAACAATCTTATCTACAAGCTAAAGAATTTTATTTTCATAAATAATTTTTTCTTATTTAAATTAATTTAAAATATCTTTATAATTCTTTAAAAAAAAAAAAAACTCAATAAAAAAATCTTTATTTTTAAAAATAAAAATACAGAAATATGATCTTATTATTCTTTTTGGTGTTTTTATTATTCTTAATAAGTAATTTTTAATTATTGAATTTATTATAAAAGTTATTTAATTTATTATTCTTTTTCTTCTGCATTTTTTTCATGCATGACAATTTATTTATCATATAAATTAAATTAGAATTCTAATTAATTAATTTTCTCTTAATATATTTGAATATCTTAGTTGTAATTATTTTTTTCATTCTCGAAAATTTCCTAAAACTCATCGCATTTTATTATAAGTTCATTAATATTTTCATCTTTTTCAATTATTAATTTGTTTAATTTTTCAATTTCAGATTCTTTTTAATACTTTTTTTTATATATAAATTAAATTAATTATTTAGAAAATTATTAATTATATTATTTTACATTTTCTTAAATTAAATCTTTATTTTTTTTAATATTCTTTGATTTTCTTCTGCTTTTTTTTAAATTTCGTTTTAGAAATTCATTTCTTTTTATTAAGATTCTTCATTTTTTTATTAAATTTAATTTTAAAATCTTTCCGTTTTTTCTTAAAATACTTAAAATTCTGATTCATTTTTTGACTATTTTTCTAATTCAAAAATTATTTTTTTAGATTTTTTTAGTTCTTTTTATAAATTATATGTATACTCTTCAAGCTTATTATTTTAAATAATAATTTCTTTTTATTTTTATTAAAACTTTTAATTTTCCATATTTAAATTATCCAAAATAATATTGCTTTCATTCTAAATTTCTTATTTAAGATTTGATTTTTTCTTTTTTTCTTTTTCTTCAATTATTTAACATTCTAAATTATCCATTTATAAAAGTTTTTCCTCATTTATTTCTTTTTTTTTGTTTTTTTGTTTTTTTTTAAAAAATACATATTTATTAATTTTCTATAATTTTTTATTTTAAAGAATCTATTTGGGCTTATAAAAGGTCTATTTTTCTTTCTTTAGTACTTAAAATAAGCTCATATTTCTTCTTTTCTTCAAATCTTAATTAGTTTAAAGATTTTTCTAATTAATTCATTTTTATTTCATATGTTTTTGGATATACTTTTTTATAATCATTTATCTAATTTTTCTCTAATTAATCTATTAATTATATATTTTCTTTTAAAGCTTTTTTATATTCATCTTTATTATTATTTTTTTAATTTTTTAAAAAAATATAATTAAGAACTTTAAGATTTAGTATTTATTTTGAAATTATCATATTATTTATATTTTTCATTTAATAATTATTTCAAATAAGTGTTTTCTTATTATATTTCTTATGTTTACTATGAAGATTTGCACTTTTACATTTATTGAATTATCAATTCTTTTTCTTATATATTTTTGTTTAAATTATGGATTTTTATTTCGTTTTTCTTGGCTTTATCTTCGAATTATTTTATTATTGGAATATATTAGGTAACTTCTTGCTCTATTTATACTATCTTCTTCATTTATTCTTCTAATTTATAGTATTTTTTTTTCCAATTTTCTTGATTATCATTTTACTATTTTTTAAAAAAAATATATTTATTTCCTTTTTAAATAAAAATACTGAGTTTAACTTTAATTATTTAATTTCTTCCGTTTGATTTTTTAATATTGTGTTTAGGGCATCATTTGTTTTTATCAAAGAATTTATCTTTTCTTACATACAATTCCATTATTCATGAGAAATAGTTATCTATTGATTTATGTATATTATTTAATACTATTTTTTTTATTTTTTAAAATATATATATTTTCACATTAGATATTTATTGCATTTTTTTATTTTATTTTTTTTTCAGTTAAAAATAAAATAATAATAATAAAAAAGTAAATAAATATAATTAATACTTGATTAAGTTTTAATTATTAAATTTAAAATTCTTTATGTTTAAAATTAAGTATTCAATACAATTCTTAATTTAAAAATTAAATAATTTATAAAATAAATATTTTTATTAAGAAAAAATTATATTAATTATAAAAAGACTTTAAAAGAAAAAAAAAAGATATTTTTTTATATTTAATTATATTTATATAAAATCTATAGGTTATCTTATTATTATTCTTTAATGTAATAGAAAAAATAAAATAAAAAATATAAAACACGAAATAAATTCAAATGTAAAATAAACTAATTAAATATTATTTATTCTATTATATTAAATATTTAATTCTTATAATTAAAAAAAAATATAAACACGTATAGTATTTAATTAAAATAAAAATTAAACTTATTTAATAATTTTTTTATAAATTCTTTTAAAATTAATAGTATTTCATTAAAATATTTTAATAAAAATTGACAAAAAAATATAAATTATCACAAAAAAATCAAATAAAACATTATATTTTTTTTAATATTATTATTAATATATTTATGTAAATAATATAAAATAACAATATTATTTTTTTATTCTTAAGTGAATTCTAATTAAATCATAATAAATCCTCTTATTACAACCTCCATAACTGGTCCATAATTCCATATTAAATGTCCACTAAAGAAGCAAGTTAGTTGATAAATCTGTTAAAGTATAAAAAATATAAAATATAAAAAATAAGATTATACAAAATCCTAATATTCCTTGAAAAATGTTACATTTTGGTGCCATACCAGAAATTCTTAAGTTAAAAATATTAAAATTATATAAAATTTCCAAAAATCAAAGAAATTTTTAATATAAGTTCTTAGACTATTCATATTCAGCTCAATGAAATAGTATATAAATAATAAAATTATAATTCTCTATGATATTAAAAAAACTTTATACTCCCAGACTGGGGAATTACTATTTAATATTGTCCAAAGCATTTTCCAAAAAAAAAATTAAATATAATAAAATATATATATGTAAATATTCGCGTGATAAACTCATTCTAAATTAACAAGTAGATATTTCAAGGACCAGAAATACCTCTAACTCCGCTGTATGAAATATTTGCTTAAGCGAATGAAACTATAAAACCCTATTATAAATGATAGGAATAAGCAAATTTTTATAGCCGATGACATAGCGATATTCCAAAACATAATTAATGACTTTATTATATTTGATAAAAATTATAAGGAGCAGAGGAAATAAGTCTTACAACCCATTAACTAAAAGAAGACATAAGTTATTATAACAAATAAAAATAAAAATAGAAGAATAAAGCAAATTATTAGCTAAATATGAACAAATATTTTTAAGCTAAATTATTTATGAGGTGGTTACGAGAGAATATTGATTAAAATTATCAAGAAAAAAAGAGATCAATTAAACTTGAAATCTTATAGCTTAAAAATAATAAGAAATCAGTTAACTTTTTAAACGCGGACGAATACATATGTATTTTAAATATGATAAAAATAATATTAATTTTTTCATTATATGTATTATTTATTATATATGTTTTTTAATTCAGATTATAATATAAACAAAAAATTTAAAAAAAAATATATATATAAATAAAATTAATATATATATTTTTTTTTAAAAAAAAAAACATTAAAAAAATGAAAATAAAAAAAAATCTATTAATAAGTTAATTACAATAATTCGATGATATAATAGTTAAAAATAATATATTAAAACCAAACATAGAAGATTCTCTAACATTAAATCGTTAAAAATCTCCGTCTTTGCCTACTTTAAAATAAAAGAAGAATATATTTGAAAATTTCAGTATAAAGTTAAACGTAGAAAATAAATATGATAAAAATAAAGACATAAATAATAAAATTTTAAAAAGTGATTAAATGGATAATTAATAGTTTAATGAACAAGAAAAACATATACATTAAAAATTAGATAATATGGGTCTTTATATTTCTGACCCTATGGAAAAATAAAATAATTATTATTAAAAAATAAGAAGTAAAATATTAAGCAGTAATTCTTAAGATGTAAATGAAGATAAATTTTTAACACCTTAATATACAAAAAACTAAATCTTAAGAGATGGAGAAAACAACATTAATTCTAAATTTTAAGTATTAGCTTTTAATTCTAGTACTTTGATGTCCAAAAGGTATTTTTTTATTGTGTTTTTTAGTTTAATTTTTTTATTTTTCAAAGAAAATCTTAGTTAAGTTAATTTTATGCTTTAACTAGATATGTAAATACTAAAATTTAAACTAATCATTGAAGAATTTTATTTTATAATTTATCGAAGCTATGTTTTATGATCTTATTATAAATATTTTTTTATTTTTTTGGAAATATGGAACAAGAAATATTAAAATAGCTTTTTTATTTTTTTGTAAATTTAAGAGAAATGTTTTTAATATTTTAATAAATTAATATATTATATACATATTTATATTATATATTTTTCATAATTATTTATTATTTTTATATGTCGATTTTATAGTAAAAAAATATTTTGATATTATATTATTTAATATTTTAAAAATTTATTTTATTAAATTATTGTATTTTTATTTAATTTTTTTTTATACTAAAAAAAAAATATATAAAATAATGGTATTTTCTAAAATTACTTATAATAATTGAGTTTTTTTTTTTTAATTTAGGCATCTTTTTAATTAATAAAAGATTAATGGAAAGACGTAGAACCTGTGCAATAATATGATGGTTCAAGGACATTATTAAACTTGAAATATGATAAAGATTGTAATTAAAAAGAAATATAAAAAATAAAATAAAAAACATAATAAAAATTAATAGATGAAGAGTTAATGGGATATTTCAGATTTATAGTAAAAAATAATGAGTTTAGTGAAAGAAGCTTTGAATTATCAAGATGCGTTTTGGAAATATTAAGTTCAAATTATAATGCATGGTATGTAAGATAAAAATGTTTAGAATTACTTCCTAATTTAAGTTATGAGGACGAATTGTTATTTTGTAATTAAATTGCTTAATAGAATTAGAAAACTTTTTAAATATGGTATATTATATTTATTTATTTTTAAAATAAGGAAAGTATCTTGCTTTTTTAAAAAAAGGTAGCATAGAAGAATTGTTATTGAAAAATTAAAAAATTGTAATGGTGAAATCGAATTTTTAGAAAATGAAATATTTAATAAAGATAATAAAAATTATCATGCATGGTGTTATAGGTATTTTTTTTTATTTTTTTAAGATAATAAAATAATTAGAATTTGGTTATGTTAATATTTTAATTTATATGGTGAAGAATGGGAAAGATTAGATAAATATTTCAAAGAAGATATAAAAAATAATTCAGTTTGGAATTACAGAAGGTTTTTATTAAATAATAAATTTAAGAGCAAATAAATAGAATTAAAAGATGAACTCAAGTTTGTTTTTTAATAAATTTAATTAACTATCGATAATGAGAGTGTTTGGAATTATTTATTCGGTTTATTTAAGACATATGATTTTAAATGTTTATAAAGCGAAAAAGTATAAATATCAGATTAAAATATATTTTAGAGTGATTTTCTTTTTAATATTAATGATTTTTAAGAAGTTGAAGATTTTTGTAATGAAATTATACTTTAGGCTCCTAAAAATAAGTTTTATTAAACTTATTAATTCATATTAAACTGGCTAAAATAAATAAAGATAATATAAAGGAAATCACTGATGTAATAATATATACATATTAATATAAATTATATGTATATATAAATTTATTTAGATTTGTGATTTATTAGCTTATGATTGTGATAAAATTAGATTTAATTACTGGATGTGGTTTAAAGAAAATATAATTAATGATTTCAATGATTTATTATAATGAGTAGAAAACACATTTGTTATTTAAAAAAGTTATCACTTAAAATAGATTTTGATATTAGTATTTAAAAAAAAAAAATATAGTTAATATTTATTTTTAGTTTTTTATTTTATAAAATATTTATTTCTATTTCTATCATTTATGATTTATTAATAATTTTATGTAAAATAAATAATATATTAAATGTAAAATAGTTTGTTTAAATTCATTCATTCTTATTTTATTTTTTTATGTTATAAATATAAATTTGATTTGTAATTTTTTTGATATTTAAATTTATAAAAAAATATTTTTAAATTCTTTTAAAATTTAATATAAATCATTATTATTCAATAAAAATTTATAATTATATTTAAAAATAATTGCTTTGATTTCATTTTTTATATTTATTTTTCAAAAATTATGTTTTTTTAATTTTAGATAATATTTTTTTAATATTTATTTTTAATTTTACTTTTAATTAGAAAATTTAACATTTTTATTATATTAATTAATTTATAAATAATTATAATTAGTTAACAAAATTAGCTTTAATTTTTTTAAAGGACTAATAATCAATCAAATAAAAAAATATAATCAAATTTGATATATTAGATGATTTTATATATTACAACATATGGAATTTAATTAAAACTTTTTAAAATATAATTTTTTTTATATATATATTATAATTTTTTAAAAATATAAATAATAGTTTCATTTTAATAAAATAAAATTTAGTATATAATATATTCTAAATTTATTTATTAATTTTTATAATTAATAATAATAAATAATAAATAATATTAAATTGTTAGACATAAAGTTTTTATCATAAAGTTTATAATATAAAACTATTTAAAAAATAGATAATATATAATAATAATCATTTTTATTTTCAATTATAAAGTATATATCAATCTTTACTAATTAATTAATTTTATGAGTCATTAATGCAATACTTTTAAATTTAAATTTCTTAAGTAAATTTATAAAAATATCTAATATGTAATTTGAAACAAATCCTAATCATATAAAATAATAAATTTGAAGAATATATTTTTTATTTAAATTTAAATTTAAAAATTGCATTTCTATTCTTTAATTCTAAAAAAATTATAGAAATTTAAACAAAATAATTAAAATTTTACTAAATTATTTTCTCATAAAAAATACATAATTTAAATGAATAATTATTTTTTTAAATATTAACTTAGTAATATAGTAATATAATCAATTATAAAAAATTTAAAGTATTTTAAAAATATTTTTATAAAAAATAATTTCTTATTGTTTCAAACATTTTGATTGTCTGAATTTTTTTAAAATGCAATATAAAAACGACTTATTTTCTATTAACAAAAAAAAAATTTCTAAAAACTTAAATAATATATATATACATAAAAAATATTATTTAAAATAGAAATCAAGTGTTTATACAATTATACAATTTTTTTTTAAAATAAAAAAAAAATATTATAAAAAATAAAAATGAATAAACAATTCCAAAAATATTTTTTCTCAACATAATAGAAATCTTTAAATTAATTCTACATCCCTAATAAGGTTTAACCTTTGCAATTTAATCCTCAATCCAACTCTCCAGGTACCCTATCCCCTAAAATATAAAAAAATTCCCCCTGGACAAAAGACGAAGTAATTGAAAGTACCGAAAAACATGTAGTTTTTACCTGGGGAGCTACCGATACTATGAGAAAATCAGCAAAAGACTTCGTAAGAGGTGAAGGTATATATTTAATCGACTATGCCGGCAATAAATACATTGATTGGACTTCTCAAGCAGTTTCAAATAATTTAGGTTATACAATTCCTGATTCTATCCATGACGCGATTTCTAAATAATTAAAAACTCTTCCAAATTTATACGGTGGTCTTACTATATCAGAACCAAAAGCAAAATTAGCATAAATCCTAAACGATATAACTCCTTCTAATATAACCGGTTTCCTATTTCCATGTACTGGTAGTGATGCTAATGAAGTAGCTATTAGGGCCGCTAGACGTTTTACTGGAAAATAAAAAATACTTACTAGATATAAATCTTATCATGGAGGGAGCATTGGTTCATTGACTGCTACTGGGGATTTTAGGAGGTAATTCGCTGAAAATGGAGTTTCTGGTTTTGTAAAATTCTTTGATTTCTAAGCAATGTAGTTTTAATGGGGGAAGAATTAGGAAGAAAGTATTAATAATTATTTGGCTTATTTGGAAGAATTGATTATTAATGAAGGACATCATACTGTAGCAGCTATTATGATTGAAACTATTACTGGAAGTGGAGGTGTTTTAATAAATCCGGACGGTGTTTTGAGAGGAATACGTAGTTTATGTGATAAATATAAAATTTTGCTTATTTTAGATGAAGTTATGGTTGGTTTGGGAAGAACAGGAGAATTTTTCAGCTTTTAAAGCTATGAAGGAATTGTACCTGATATTTTTACATGTGCTAAAGGGATATCTGCAAGCTTTTTACCATTATCAGGAGTCGGGTTTTCGAAAGAAATTTAAGATTACTTCAGAACAAATGCTTTGGGATGGGGAACTACTTTCTAAGCACATCCAGTATCATGCGTTTGTGGATTAGAAGTGATTAAATATATGATTGATAAGGAAATTATCTAACATGTGAAGAAATTGGAAAAAACCATGCATAAAAGAATGGAAGGATTACTGTAGAAACATAATTGTTTAAGATAAGGGAGAGGAAGGGGACTTTTTGGAGCTTTCGATATTGTAGGAAAAGATGGGTAGCTGATTTAAATGAATTATAGTGATCCGAATCCTGAACCAGTTATAAAGTTTAAATAAAGATTATTGGAAAATGGCATCTTTATGTGGGTAAGGGCACCTGTTTTACATTGTGCACCGCCTCTTATTATTACTGAAAGTGAACTTAATGATGGGTTTGATAGACTTGATGATGCTTTAAAAGTTATGGATCATTGATTTTTTATTTTTTAATGTTTTTTATTTAAATTTATAAATATTATATTGTTTTATTTTAAAAATGTTTTATTTATTTTTGAGGGCAATATTTATATTATGTTTTTTAATATATTTTTTAAAAAAAAAGAGTGGATTTTTATTTTAAAAGGATAAAATTTAATTTATCTAAAAATTATTTCATATTTTTATATAAAATAGAAAAAAAAAAGTTAAAACTAAGTCTTATTAACTCTATAAATATTAATAATAGAAAAGAAAAAATATTAATAATAATAACAATTATAAAACAAAACAAAAATAATATATAAAGAAAAAATATATATATTACAATTAAAATTAATTTAATAATAAAAAAAGAAAAATGCAATCATTAAATTTAGATTCAAACGCAGATAAATTTTTTTTGGTCTGTTTAATGTCTTTATGTTCATATATATTTCTATCATAATGTGACGATTTAATAAAGAACAGTCTGGTAGTATTTTTAGTATCAAAATTGTATAAAATAGACTTAAGAATAAATAATACAAATGATCAATTTTTCAATGCTTCTTTTTCTGATTTTTTACCTATAAAAAAAATATTATGCTTAGTAATAATTTTACAAAAGAAAATATGCCATATGTTATTATTATATGTATTATTTACGGAAAGTATTCTTAGTTTATTCACTATTTAATTTTGGATTGAAAAAATGCAATTAATATCAATTATTTCGAATTGTTTTGCTTCTCATTTCTGTATATAGGGATTTATGGAAGGAAAGTTTTGGGTCCCTTTTTTAGTCCCATTATTTTCTTTGATTTGGAATGCATATTTAGTTACTTAATATGATTTTTTTTCTATATATTTACTTCCTTCAATTATTCTTTTAGTATTTTTTATTTTCTCTTATCTTATTACAATCAATTTCGTCAATGTCTCGTGTGTTTTTAGGACTAGATTTATAGAAAATATAGCCGAACATGTCGAATAAGTAGGCAGTTTTTAACTAGCTATTTAAGTTCTTTAATTATTTAATACTTATTCCCAAAACTGGACTTTAAAAATTCTCGCTGGACCCTGTATGACGATTATTGGAGTGAATTTTACTGTAAAAGCATTTCATTATCCAGAATAATTCTTTTTAAGAAGTTTAGCTTAAAGCTATAATTAGAATGATTGTGCAATTTGTTTAGAAGACTTGAATGTTAAACCTATTTAAAACATTACATTGACTGGTTGTTTCCATTTCTTTCATTAAACATGCCTTGATGATTGGACGGGAACAAAGAAGAACTCATGTCCAGTATGCAGATAATGTATAGAAGAAGAAGATGAATGTAGTTAATAAACTTAAGATAATTTATAGTATATTAATTTGTTGGATTGAATTTTTTTTTTTCAAATATATAATTATATTTTTTTTTATTATATTTTTAACTTTTGTATGTGTATATAATTATTATTAATTTTATTAAATTTTCTTTTTTTTTAAAAAAAAAAAAATCAGAATTTTCTAAAAATTGTTATATTTATAAAAATCAAAAATATTATGAAAAACAGCATTGCATAATAAGTTCTTATAAAATGAAGAGAACTATTATTATTTATATATTTTAAAAATATAATTTATATAAATAACCTTATATATTTCCCTTGAAATAAAAACATGAATATTATATCCAATTAAGTCCAATTTTATTTCCCTTTATATCTTAAAAAATTCAAAATATCAGCTACATAAGTATAACAATTATTACTATTTTATAAAGAAAATAATTAAAATCAAAAGTGATAAAAAAAAAATATTTAAAAAAATATTATTTTTTAGAACTCATAAAAATGATACTATAAATTAATATTAAAATAAAATTAAAAAATATTTTATATTATATATATTATATACATATAATCAATAAACAATAAATAAATAAAATTAAATATAATATTAATACTTTCATTGATTTATACTTTTTATTAGCTTTAATTATGCATTCATCATAAAATTCAATATCAAAATAATGCTTATCTAACTTAATATACCTATGATAGAGCAATAATAAATAAAAAAATATTATATATATTTTACTTTAAAGGAGATCCCTAATAAAAATCCCCTATCTTAAATATTTAAATATATATATTAAAATTAATAAATAAATGAAGGAATTACATTTATCTTATAGTCATTTGAAAAATCATGTATATCACCATTAGAACTATTAATAAATAACAAAAATTAAAATAATAAATATTAAATAATTAAACTTTCCTATTCCTATATATCCAAACATAGGAAATATCCATTATAAATAATAATAAGTAGTCCATACAATGCAGTAAGGAAATATTTCATTATTTGGATCGAATTTAACTTCTTAATCTATTTCATTATTTATTGAAGAACTTTTTTCGTTCTAAAAAACAACGTAATTTTTCATTCTTATTTTTAAAAATATTTTTTTGTTTTATTTGTTTAAACTTAAATTTAAAAGAAAAAAGTTTTAAAATTTAAAGTTTTTTTTAAAAAAAGATAATTTTTATTATTTATTTAAGTTATTATATCAAAATACTTTTGATTTTGAAAAAAAACTCATTTATAGTTTATTTTATTTTAAATATATTTTAAAAAATTAATAATGTAATAATAAAAAAAAAAATATAATTTTTTATTAAATAATTTGTTTATTTTTATTTGTGTTGAAATTATATTAATGATTTTTTTATAAATCAAATAATCAATAATAAATATAAAACTCATAAAGCAATAATATATAAAATTTTAAAATTTAATAAATATAAAATTTATATATTTGAATTATTTTAATAATTAAAACTAAATTAAATGAAATATTAATAAGTTTAACAAAAAAAATAAAAAAAATATATATATAATGGTAAATAAATATAATTATATAAATTTTATCAATAAAATTAGTAATAAATAAAATATTTTAATATTTATATTAATTTAAATTTAAATATTTTTTTGATTATTTAATCAAATTAAATTATATTTTTTTATAATTCGCATTAATAATTATATAATAAAATTTATATTTATAATAAAGTTATAACCTTATAATTTTTAAATTATTGATTACATATATCAATTTTTAATTTTATAATAAAAAAATAATAAAAATCAAGATAAAAAAATAAAATTGAATAAAAATTAAAAAAAAAAAATAGAAATACAAATATAAAAAAATATGTATATATAATAAAAAAATTATTAAAAAAAAAACTAAAAAAATAGAAATATATATCAAATCAATTAAAAAAAGAAATAATTAAAATAACAATAAATATAAATATATATATATTTTAATTTATATGTATATTTATATATAATATATATATATATATATTTATAAATACATAAACATAATTTTATTTATTTTTAATTATATATAAAAAAAAAAATTAATAAAAAAAAATTTTATGCGCGAAATAAGCATTTTCTGTACATACGAAGAATCCGATGAATAAATTATAATTCAATTAGAAGATCATTTAGAAGATTTTTCTTATTTAGATTAATAAATTTTAATAAGTTTATTTGAACATTATGGTTTTCCTCCATTTAAACAATTAGAAATAAAATATATAACAATTCAAAATAAATATGGGAAAAAATAGACCAAAATTTTTATGAAGAAATCGAATATTTACAAGATTCTGAAAATGATTATTATTTTTAAGGCGGAATTCATATAAAATTAAATAAATAAGACTCCGATGTTATTATACTAGATTCAATAAATGCATTATATTAATTAATAAACGACTAATACAATAAACTTCAATCCATAATGAGCAAAACATAATTAAAAATAGAAGATTTATCTTCACAAATTTAATAAATTTAATAAAAAATAAATGAAAAAGATTAGCAAATACCCAATTTTAAAAATGTAAATTAAAAAAATAAAGTAATTTTTAATAGTCCTGAAAATAAAGGACCTATTTTTGATATTCCAGTGTAAAAACATGGGCCTATATTTGACTTTGGTGAAAATGATGACGAAATATTTCAAACAAAAAAACCAATTTTTGATGTTTCTCCAACTAATAAACCTATTTTTAATTTTTTTGATGATATAAAAGTATAAAAATCTTGTGAAAAAATAGAAAAATCATAAGAATAAATATAATTAGAATAATAATAATTAGAATAATAGAAATTAGAATAAATTAAATAAGATTAAGAATAATAATAATAATAATAATAATAATAATAATAATAATAATAATAATCATAATAATAATAATCATAATAATCATAATAATCATAATAATAATAACAATAAAATTAATTTTTTTTTAATTATCTTGTTCTCCTTCGAAATCAAAAGCTCAAGAATTCACATTTTTTCAATTAGAAAATTAAAAAATGATTTAAAAACAACTAACAATACCACCTTCTCCTATAATTCCTATAATTAGTAACCATAAATAATCTAAATAAAAAAAAAGATTCAGAATAACTGTAATGTTCGCAGAACCTCTAGTTTAGAAATCCAAAATAATAAAATCAGCTGGAGATCCTGTAGGTTTTGAGTAAGAAATCAAATACCTATATGAGTTTTTGAAAACACCTAATAAAGAAATAGACTTGGAAATTCAAGTCGCTAATTTAGATAATTTGGAGAAATCTTTAAGTTTAAAAACTGATATTTTACATATTATTTGTCACGGTGATTTTTCTTAATAAGAATAAAAATACTACCTTTCATTCGAAAATGAGAACTCTGAATTAGATACTATAACAAGTATTCGTTTTAAGAATTTTTTCTAAAACAAATTAAAAAATTTAAAGTTGGCATTTGTAAATGCATGTCATTCAGAGGAAGTCGCACGATTTTTTTCGAAGCTGGAATTCCATTTGTGGTATCAGTTTAATAAAATTTAAAAATAGAAGATACGGCAGCTACTACTTTTTCCAAAACATTCTATATAGACCTTATTTTAGGAAAAACAATATAATAAGCATTCGAGTCTGCCAGCTTAACACTTAAATCTAAACTTCATGACAATTGTTATACTTGCTGTTGTGCACATAAACATTCTAATGATTGCGAATGGCAATAATATGCTATGGATAATGGATACACTAAAGCACATCTATTACATTAGTAGTTAATGGAATGTAATTGTAAAAATGCGAAAGAAACTTTACTACATAATGATAATTGTAGGTCTTTGTCTTCTTTTTTAGCTGCTTTTCCAGAAGATGGGGAAAAAAGCGGAAGAATTAAATATATAAATTTTATCTAAAAATTAAATATATGCTTGTTGTTGTTAACCTTATGGAACACCACATGATGAAAGTGCAAAATTCTAACTAATGGCAAGTTAAGATCCGAATCAAGTCAGCTTTTAAGTTGAAGATGGGGATATGAAAGTGGTGTCGAATTTCAATATATTTGATTCTGATTTTTAATCACCAGTAAGACTTTTTGGAAGAAATGAAGAAATTTATTAAGTTTACAAGGCTTTAAATAAATTAGATTAAGAACATAGAATTGTAGTAGTTTATGGAAATAAAGGAAGTGGAAGAACTGCTTTAGCTAGCAAATGTGCAAGGTAATATATAAAAATTAATATTATAATTTTTAATTTATATATTTTTTATTATTTTTTTATATATTTAAGACATTTAAAAGAAAGAGGGTGTATAAATTAAACTATTCGTGAATTTTAATTTGAGAAATAAATTTTAAATGATAATATAAATAAGATATTTTTAAAAAAAAAAATTCTTATTCTATTTCGAATTTCAAAGAGCCTGAAAAGGTGCTTCTTATTTTAGATTTGGATTTAAATTCCTAAATTTATAAAAAAAAATAGCTTGAAGATTTTATTAATGAATATTATGATAATTTATATTTGAAGTTTATTCTTATTTTTGATTTAAAACCTGATTTATCTAGATGTCAATTATAAATAGAATATATAGAACTACAACCTTTGACTGAAAATTCGACCAATGCAATATTTAATCACCATATATCAAATATACTATAACAGTAATTGTACAAAGACGTATTTTTCGAGGAGCAATACACTTAATTATTAAACACTATGCCGAAAATGCCTAAAAACATAATGAAAATAATCGAAAATTTTAGATCAGGTATATCAATAAATACAATTTTATAATTTTAATAAAGCAATTAAAAAAACGCTTAAGAAAACCAAATATTTAACTTAGCAATAGAAGAATTAAAAACTAATAAAAAGAAATAATACGAAATACTAATTTTAATTTCTTAATTTCCACACGGAGTATCTTTTGACGATTTAAAATATATGGAATGCAAAAATTAAATATTTTAAGATTGGAAAAAAATTATTGAAGACCTTTTAAACTAAAGCCAATAATATAATAAATTACAAACTGAAAGTGATGAGGAAAATGGAATTTTCGAAAGTAATAACAATAGTAATGGTAATATAAATAGTAATAATAATGTAAATAGTAATAGTAATAGTGGCTCTAAGAATAATCATAAAACTAAATATTCTGAAGATGATAAAATGTTTAAATATGGAAAATATTACTGGATGTATATTATTCCTAATTTTTTGGGATCAAAACTATTTTTACCTAAGAAATTTTTAATAAGATAATTGAAGAAAAATGACGATTTTAAAAATGATGTTATTTAAAAATAAATTTAAGTTTTATATCATTTCGAAAATTTTTTAAAAAGAATACTTTATGTAAAAAAAAGTAAATATTCTCCGAAAAAAATATTAGAATATTCTAATTTGAGCTAAGGAGGAATATTTGCTTTTGACTTTAATCTTTATGATGATTTTAGTTAGAAGAAATCAGCTTAAAATAAATGGATAATTTAAAGGACCTTTTCGTAAAATTTTGATAAAGAATTCTTCTAGTAACATCCTTTGGATATTATATTTTAGTAACATTAGTTTAATTTTGAGTATTATTTAAATAAATAAAATATTTAGACGTTTTTAGAATATATAAGTTTAAAAAATTATATATATAATTATTATATATATTATTTTAATAAATATATTAAATTTTTAAATATATTTTTTTAATTTTTATGATAATTTTTTTTTTTTAGATTCTAATTAATGTCAAGAAAAAGCTAAAATAAAAAAATCATATAGCAATTTTGTATTAAATGTGATATCATTATAATATTTAATTGGAAGCGAATTACTTTTAATATAATGGTATGAAAATGCAATAAAAATAATAAATGAGATTCTTGTTTTTGAAGAAAACTGGCATTTTGAAATTATAAAAATAAAAATTTATCTAATAATTATAAGCTATTTTTATGAAAAAACTTTTCTTTAATAAGAAATAGATTAAATGTATTTTAATAAATATATTATATAAATTTAAGAAGTTTAAAAACTATCATAAAATTTGACTAATAATGCTAAGTTTTTTGATGAAAATTTCGTTCTGTAATACTATATATTTGAAATCATATTTAAATATTAATATAAAAATATAAAAATATAAAAATTATATAATTATATAAATATATAAATATATATTTATATATATATATTTATTTTATATTTTTTTTTTTATTAATATATATTTTTTTCCTATAAGTTAGATTATTTAAACTGAAATTCTTTATATTATTTCAATTACAATTTCTTTTATTAACTAAAAGTATTCTCCTATTTATATTTAATAAAATTATGAAAAATTATAAATGCTTTTCTAGCTTTTAAATATATAAAGTTTAGATTTATACTAAAGCATATAAACTATTATATTAAAATTAAAGAATAGTATTTAAGATTTAAAACATTATGATATTTAAAAAATAAAAGAATTTAATTTTCATTATTTAATATAGGATAATTGTTTAGATTTATTAATAGGAAAACTATTGATGGTTTTAGGAAAACTATATGGATTGCAATATTAGAAAAAATATGATGAAAGTTATGTTGATATTTTGGAATAAAGTATAAAAATTTTTTCTGAATGGAAAGAAGATTTATTAAAATTCGAATGCTTTAAAGAATTTACAAACTAATTTTTTAAAAATTAAAAATTATAATAGAAAATTAAAATAACAGAAAAACATTTAGATGAGTTTTTAACATAGGAAATGTTCTCATAATAAATTATAAAAGCTTAATAATTATAAGGGGATAATTTTTCTATTTATTCATTTAGCAATAAATTCTATAAAGAATAAATTTCATTAAAAAACTAATGATTGTATTATTTATTTATTATATTGAAAATTTTATTCTTACAATAAAAAAATATATATATAAATATATAAAAATATAAATATATATATTTATATATTTATAATTATTTTTATTTATATATCACATACATAAAATTAAAAATAATATACTGAAAAATACTAACATACTAAAAGCATTTTTAAATGTTTATTATTTACTTACTTCTGGTGATACCTATTCTATATATAAATATTATTATTTTTTTTAAATAATATTAATTATTGAATTTTTACCTTCCAAATGATCAGTAATATCATTTTATTTTTACTTTTTTATTTTTAATATTATATTATAAAAATAATATTAATTAAATTTTAAATTTATTAATTACATTTAATAATCCAAATAATGATGGGAAAAATCCATAACCTGCTAAAGGGACACCTAAAGATAAATTCATTGAAGACATCATCTATTTTAAATGATATATATATATATTTATATATATAAATAAATATTCTTTCATAAATAAATTATACCCCTCCTAAATGATTTCTATTTCTTTAAGGATTTTGCCTCACAGGTACTTACCTTTTTGGTATGCTTGGATCTCTTTATAAAATATAAAACATAAATTATTAAAAATTTTCCAATACATTTAAAATAAAAAACCTTTAATCTTAATTAATATCTGTTTCATTTCTTGTATACAGGGGAGTTATTTATTCTTTACGAATTCCATTTTTACAGTTTGGGCAAACTAAATATTCATTATTTTAATTAAGCCACTAAAAGATAGATTTTCATTAAATAAGTTAAAAAAAAATATTACTCTATAAAAACATGGCCAGCTTTCAAAAATTAATATTTATTTTTTGTAAAACACAATAAACATACCAAAACAAATGACCGCATTATGTAACTACTGGTTCTTTTGCAACTTCTAGGCAAATTGTGCATTCAAATTTTTCTAATTAGTTATTTACATTATTTTATTCTTCCATTATATATTTATATTTTTTAATATATGTTATTTATATTACTTTTTTTGTAATTAAAAAAATTAAAAACTATTTTAAATATTGATAAAAAAAATAAATTAACTTACTTAAAATTAAGTTCAAATAATACTAATTAATAACTTAAATTTTAAAAAAATATTTTAAAAATTTATTAAACTAATCAATCACCACTAAAGAATATTCTTAATTTTTAAAATAATATATTAAAAATGCCTTATTTGTATGAATTTTAAAAATTTTAGAAGGGTGTAAATATGAAATTCCAATTTAAATATTATTATCTTGAAATATAAAATTAATTAAGTATTGTAAGTTTTTAAATTTCATATTTTTTCAGGATTTGCTATTGATGTTTTAGAAAACTTAGGAGTATAAATTTCTAAATCAGAAATCGGAGGTTATTTATATTTATGGAAAGTGGTCGGTCGGTTTTTTACTTTGAATTGATGAAGAATTAGTTGTGGATTTACTCGTTCAAAGATAGTTAGTTATGTTATTTTAAGATAAGAAACTAAATATTATTCATAGAAATATTAAGAATGTATTAAAGCTTAAAAAGTTTTTTTATATTTTTTAGATAAAAGATATTTTCCCTTTTTTAAAAAAGTTATTCATTAAAATTTAAGTAAATATTAATTAGGAATTTATTAGATAATACAATTAGAATTTTAGAAAAAAGTTTTATTTGTATCCTTTTATTGGATTTATAAGAAATCAACTATTATCTTTTAGGAACAATTAATATTTTTTTTTATGGAAATTGTTATTTATGAACTTTAGCTAAAGACTACATTAATAATATATAAGTTTAACATATGGAATATTAAATTATTTATATTAAAATGGTTTATTAATTGTTTCATAAAATAAAAATATGTAAATGTCTTTTTTTATTTAAAATTTTAGTTTAATTAATATTCTTTTTAATTTAAATAAACTATTTAGTTTTTAACTATTTAAATTAATCTATTATATAAATTAAAAAAAATGAAATAATTTCAATTGTTTAATTATATTTATTTATATAAATATTTATTTATTTTTTTATATTTATTTTTATATTATATTATTATTTTTATTGTAGAATTTAATTTAATATTTTATTCTTTAAAATGTTTTTCTTTGTTAATATTTAATTAATATTTTTATATTTTTATAAAAAAATAAGTAAAATTTATTTAAAAACTTATTAGAAAATAAAATAACTAAATAAATAAAGGAGTATCTGAGAAAATAGCAAGTGCAAAAATTTATATTGTTAACTTATTTGAAGAGAATTTTATTTTAAATCTCAATTATTTTTTTATAAATTATACATTACAAATTGATAACTAAGTCTTACTTTTAAGCCATTTTTAAAGCTATCCCTTTTTAGAATAAAAATAAATTTTAAGCTACTATAAATTTAAATGTATTTAATATTCTAAAAACATAATTATGTATGCTTTTTTCTTATTTAATATTACTTTTATCTTATCTATAATGTGTACTTTAATTATTAAATAATTCATGTTTATTATATATTTTAGTATAGATTAGTAATAAAGTAAAAATAATATCATATAATTTAATTTCTTTCGTAATTTAATTCATTAATATCAAAAATTAGTTATTGTTTTAAAAGTATTATTTTTAATGAAGAAATAAATTTTATGATGATTCTGATTTTTAGAAAATAAATATTAATTTTTAATACATTAAATTATATAATAATGAATTTTGTACTAAATATTTTATTATAAATTATACTT